GAGGGATAAGAGAGAGGGACGGAAAGAGGAGACGAGGAGGAGGAGGGAGGAGGCGGAGGGAGGAGAGAAGAGAGAGGAGGAGGAGAGAGAGAGAGAGGATGAGAGAGAGAGAGAGAGGGAGGAAGAAAGAGGTGGGAGAGAGAGGAGAGAGAGGAAGAGAGGAGAGAGAGAAAGAGAGAGAGAGAGAGAGACGAGAGAGAGAGAGAGAGAGAGGAAGAGAGAGAGAGAGAGGAGAGAGATGAGAGAGAGTAGAGAGAGAGGAGAGGGAGGAGGCGGAGGCAAGGGAGCGGAGAGAGTGAGATGAGAGACGAGAAGAGAAGAGAGAGAGAGAGAGACAGAGACCAGGAGACAGCAAGACAGAGACAGAGAGAGAACAGAGGACCAGAGACAGAGACAGAGACAGAGACAGAGACAGAGACGAGAGACGAGAGACAGAGACAGAGACAGAGGACAGGAGACAGAGACAGAGACAGAGACAGAGACAGAACAGAGCAGACAGAGACAGAGACAGAGAAGAGAGAGAGGAGGGGAGACTGCCTGATTGAGATTTCAAGCCTTAATGACATTTAGTAGCAATTAAGCATGGCCACATATAGCTCTATGGGCAGCTCAATACAATTTGCTAAAAACACCGTAACCACCACACACTACCACAGTGTCAAATATAAATAGTACGTTCAAATCTCACATACATACGCACGCACGCACGCACGCACTCACGCGCACAGGCACTTGGACCGTTTCAATAATAAAAATGATGGTTAATAATACAACTTGTCAGTACTACTACTAGAAGCTAGTGATAGAGTGATAGAAGCTAGTGATAGAGCAATGGAATCTCTAGTGATAGAGCGATAGAAGCTCTAGTGATAGAGCAACGGAAGCTGGTGATAGAAAGATGGAAGCTAGTGATAGAGTGATGGAAGCCCTAGTGATGGAGCAACGGAAGGTAGTGATAGAGCGATAGAAGCTAGTGATAGAGCAACGGAAGCTCTAGTGATAGCGCAATGGAAGCTAGTGATAGAACGATGGAAGCTCTAGTGATATAGCGATGGAAGCTAGTGATAGCGCAATGGAAGCTAGTGATAGAGTGATGGAAGCTAGTGATAGAGTGATGGAAGCCCTAGTGATGGAGCAATAGAATGTAGAGATAGAGCGCTATAAGCTATAATACTAGAGCTGTACACACTTGGGGACGTCGGTAAACACACATGCACTTGGAAGGTTTCAATAATAAAATGATGGTAAATAAACACGAATTGTATTTATTTACTACCAAAGTCTCAATGTTTCTCTTCTCTCTTTCGCCTATTATTAGTAATATAACTCTCTGTAAATGCCGTTCAAATGTTCCTCTCCACCACGTAGTACATCACACGAACGCCGCTGTGCACAAACAGCAAAATTATAGAGTTTAAAGGTTGACGGGACGGCGTAACAACAAAATTATAGAGTTTATAATTATGTATGTTTGTGCACAGTGACGTTCGTGCAGTGAACTTGCGTGTTGCAGAGCAGCATTTACAGAAAGTTATTACTAGTAGTAGGCGAAAGCGAGTAAAGAAACATTAAGACTTTGGTAGTAATTAAGCCTACATTTCGTGTTTAGGCCTATTTCTATAATTTTGTTATTGAAACGTTCCAAGTGCCTGTGGGTCAACACCAATGGGCAATCCGCGCTCTAAAATGAACCCATAACGACACCATTAAACGTGGCGCAGATGTTCAACAAGAACCGCTATACCGAGTACTCGCGTGGTAGTTCAAGGCCGTACGCAGGAAATTTTCTGTAGGGGGGCAAATACGCAGGAAATTTTCTGTAGGGGGGGCAAAGGTACTCCCCACGCCCTCAATTGCCCTATTTGTCCCATTAAAAGGCATACTCTGAAAATCTCTAGGGGGGCAACTGCCCCTGCTGCCCTCCCCCCCGCTGCGTACGGCCCTGGGTAGGTTACAAGTGGACGAGGGCGTCAGGAGTGGAACACTAGAGCGCTAAGACGCCGGCTCCTTGCAGGCACCGGCTGGCTGCGCATTCCTACGGCTGTGCGCCGCACGCTGGTATCAAACGTTACTGTGCCACATCAACAAACAGGGCCGCACGCGGCGGCGCGCTGTTTTGGCTAGGGAAGGCCGTAAACTACATAAGCCGACCGCCGTGTCAACAAGTAAACGGGTACGAGAGCGGGCGAGCAGCGGAGATACAGCGCGAGAAGCTACTTAGCTGAGCGGACGAGAGCCGATCTAATGAAAACAACAGCTTCATACACAAACAGACGATTCCACCACTTATATATTATCAAATAATCCAGACATTACCGAGGAGAATTTTTTGCTATTATTTTTGCATGTTGCAGTGCAATTTACATCATACCATCATCTACGATAAGGGACGTCACAACATATCGCCTGCATATATACGGCGAGCGCGCGGAATAGAAGTCACATTCCGCGTAGCTAGGTATTTGACGTAAATTTGATGGAAACTAACAATGTAACTAACTGTAAAGCATTTTACCGCAGTCGCGAAACTAATGAATATCACTAATGGCTTGCTTACGGCCAGATCGAAATGGTGCTATAAATAGAGCGTTTGTGTATCGATCTGGATGCCCACACGCGCAAGGTTTTTGATCACGTGACGGTCGGCGCGTAAATACTTAATTCTACTTGTCATCATACCCAATAGATGGCAGCACAGACCAGTACTCGGTTCGGTGAGCAAGCCTGATCGGCGTAAACAAAAATTCCCTGTACTTGACTACTGGACTAGCCTACTGGAGTAAAAGTCAAGTTCAACTTCTACGCTGAACCGTGTGAGCCGTGTTTAAAACAGGTACCTGGCTATCAGGCAATCACTACGATGCCCTCACTGTGTAGTGCACCGTGTGGCTAGACCATTTAGATGATGCTCTAAAAATGTGTATAACCTAGCCAGTACAGTAGCCTAGCCCCCTAGCTCTAGTACTATAGCCCGCGGATCGCTGCCGCAGCCTGCGGCAGCGATCCGCGGGCTATAGTACTAGAGCTACCTAGACCCCCTACTAGTACTAGCTAGGGCCAGTAGTAGTCAGTACTGCCGTAGCCGCCCATAGGCACTATGAATTTGTGCAACATTTTTTTGTTCCTGGCCGTGCAACGTTGAATTACTAACAAATATCTACACATAGAACACTTGCCACGCATCATCAGCTTCTGAAATACCTTTTATCGACCTTTGTTACGGAAAAAATACCACAACACGAAATGTTCAGTTTGTTGTCTCTTGTCACTTGTGCTGAGACTGAGAGGGTCTATGTCCCCCAGGGTACTATCGGAGGGTACCCTGGGTACGGTTCGATATATCGGAACTTACCCTGGTACGTACTATCTAATATGCCGGACCGTACCTCGCCTACTCCACTAACGAGTCTATGGAGTCGCCTACGCCTACTCCCTAACCATAACCCTAACCCTAACCATATCAGATCAGATATTTACCAGGGTACGTTCCGATATATCGAACCGTACCCAGGGTACCCTCCGATAGTACCCTGGGGGACATAGACCCTATGAACGTCACTTGTGCTTGTCGTGATCACAAACACTTTAAACGTTTCAATACAAAATATGGTAAATAAACGCGAAATGTATTTACTACCAAAGTCTTAATGTTTCTCTACTCTGTTTCTCCTATTATTGCCGATAATTTCCTGTAAATGCCAAATGCTCCTCTGCGACACACAATTACACTGCACGCACGCATGCACGCCGGTGTGCACAAACAAGAATATATATAAACAACAAGAACTATATATGCAAGAACTATGTATAGTAGCGCCAGATTATAAAAAAATTTCTAGGGCACAATTTAGAGGTCTACACAGTAGGGTGCGTGCGGTGAGTGCATGTTGCAGAGGAACATTTGAATGGCATCTACGTGGAATTAACGTGATAAGAGGTACAACCTTTAAGACATTAAAATGCCAAGTACATTTTGTTTATTTACAATCATTTTATTATTGAGATGGCCCAAATGCCTGTGATCAGGTAAATGTGTCGGAGGTAATGCTAACCCAAGCAGGTCTATGACTGTACCATGTCTCAATACAGTGACAGTGATAAAAGAGATGGTCACATGTATTGTCACTGAAGTAACGTCTAACAGTGACAGCAGTTTGGCAAACTGACAGTATTCGTTATATACGTAGCAGCTACTGTATATATAACCAAATACATATTTCATCTAACTACTATACTGTAGCAGCTGCTGCTGCTTTACTGCTGGTGCTGCTGCACTACTACTGCTGGTGCTGTGTTTTGCCAGGTGTATTGTACCCAATTTTTGCTATGCTGGCTTTGGATTAAAATGGTTTGCTGTTGACAACAGCCCCACAGATGACAAAATGGCAGTAGCTGGGCGAAGTTGGAGAATCCTGGGGTTATGGCGGACGTTGGTGCGTATCCCTACGACCGTCGTGCTACAGGAAGGCAGAAGATGCATCTGTACGACTCCCCTTCGCTTGACAAGATTAGCTGCCCTCACAAGAAACAAGCATAGAATGATGGGACACAAGGAGCATGGACAAATAATAACCAGAGCTGTGAAGCAACCACGTAGCATTACGAGCTCAATGTTGGGCTATGGAGTTGAGAACAGTGAGTATGAGAAACACACGCTGCCACCAACGAAATAATGCATCCGAATACAGGTTTTTTGACAGAAAGGCAAGTGAGTTGTGGTTTTCACAAAAAAAGCCTGGTGTGCATTGAAAACTTATAAATGAGTGTATAGATGAAAAAGCGGGTATATTTTACTATAGATTTCACTTATGTTCAGTAGAGCTTGTATTCAGAGAGACATTATTTACTTGTGTTACAGATTACCTTGCATGGCTCAGGAATTGCTTCAACATAACTGTTGTCATAGGATTTGTCTACGGTCACCACATCAGCGTACCGATATCGGACAAAGCCAAGAATGGTCAGTATTAAAAGATTAATCTCTTAAATAAATGCACACTCTTAGTGAATACAGCAAAATATAGTCTCACCTAATAGTGGACATGTTAGTGATTACGCCAGTATAAAAATTACCATGAGTTTGTGCTGTTATGGTATAAAAATTACTAAATAATGCAGCCACATTCTTTCATGTCGCAACAGTTCCCTTAAATTCACAACCACCAGACAAAATTGCATCTCATTTAGTGACGTAGTAGTTCTAGACTTGTACAGCATCTCTATTACTCAGTGCAAGTTGTCGTTAACAAAAGTGTAGGGACAGGGACTCGTGAAAAACATGTGGCCTCATCATGTAACCATGTCAACCAGAAGTCAACAAACAAATTTCAATAGTTGCATATTTTACTGAAAGTAACAATGTACTTGCTGTTATGCAAGCATAGCAGTTACGAAATCATTACTTCAATAGGTTGACAGCATGAAAATTTGGGGTATTGGTGGTCTAGTGGAAAGTGACTTTGGGCTGAATGGTTTGGGGTCTGAGTCCCACCGTGGCCAGTGCTGTAGTGCCCTTAGACAATGCACTCTAACCCAAACAGCGCTAGCCAACACCTGCTGTAGAAATGGGTTTGTTTCACGAGTATGATTCTAACAACCTCTCCCACATATAAAACAAGTAGCTTTGCCAGACAGAGCTTGTTACAGAAAACAATGCAACATAGTTGGTTTGTCCCTATAAACAACGAGAGCCAAAAAGAAACCAAAAACGTGCGAACGAAGAGGAATCAGCAAACAGAAATACTGAAGGATATTTTCTTACTTGGAATTTGAATTAAAATGTTAGATATTTAAAGTCATTTTTAACAAATGCAAAACTTTAATTTGTTCACGCTTTTCTCTACAGCTTTCTTTCTGTTGGCATCGCTGAACATGGTTTTTGGGACGGCCATCTTCTTCTACAATAGCTACAAGTTGTCGGCTACACTGCAGCTGGGAAGAGTCATGGCAACGGTATCGATGGGCACTGCAACACTCAACCTAGCCGTGTGGATAATAGGTGTCGCTCTCTACTTGGAACTCATTAGCCCTTCAAGTTTGCTCAAGAAACCCAGCCAACACAATGCAGGTTGCAAATGAAAATATTTTTGCAGATGGTCCATACGAGTTTCAGCCGAGTTGTGTATTTTGGGGTAATTTAAATGTGTGTAAATATGTACAGTTATTGCAAATATTTTCAAATCTATTGGTTAATTATGCTGTAGCAGATTTGCTATTGCAGAGTCAGAAGAACCTGGTCAATTGTTGCTAATAATCATGTGCCCAACCTTTTTCATCTGCAAGGGTACACCCTAAATGAGCATATTCAATATTTGCACAATTTACAGTTTCTGCATCATCTACACATACATGTAAGTACTTATTGTAAACTTTATTGCTTGTTGTGATGCACAGGTGTAAATAGTGCTACAATTAATAAATAAGAAAATTTGAACATTTAATGGTTTCAAACATGCCAGCTAAATATATTGGATCCTTATAATCGCACTATTACATATATTCAGCTCATTCCACAACTAGTGCCACAGAGCGTGCTTTGTTGTTGCTGCTGCCACTCTGACTGCAGCTGCTACTGCAGTGAATGCTAATGTGTATTCAAGTACTATTGCAAGGCCTACCACTGTACTGCTGCGGCTTACACTGCTACTTATTCTCACTGAGGGGGGGGGGCATTTTATCGAACCATACCATGAAAAGTACCTACAATATCTCATTTTAAACACTGTTCTTTTGGCATATCACACATCAATTTAGCAATCAAACTAATGTCTAATTAACTATTGTCTCAGTACAAAATATCACTATTTACACATTATTGTAAAGCACTATTTCCACTATGCTCTAAACAGAGTTCATCAATATGCGAGCATGTTTGTATACGTAAAAGTGCTTACTGTTATTCATGTAATTACACATATAAATGGATGTTTTTGAAAAACATTCATTACAGAACCAAGCTATTCTGTGTAAAATTAATATTTACAATTATTATACAAATATACTGCATACACAATGTGTGGCAGTGTGAAATCAATATCCAGCTTTACATTTATATATATATTATATAACTCATTAAATATGTTGGTTGCTTGGTAGACTAATAGATCTATCTGGGTTAATTGTTACTCAACCGTGAAGATTGAAAACTTACAGCTGACGTTTTGCCTCCTATCAGGGGGCTTTCTCAAGACCCCGAATATCAACTGTGATGAGGGGGGATACAGACTCCTGAAAATCGTCAGCTGTACGTTTTCAATCTTCACGGTTGAGTAACAATTAACCCAGATATATGTATATGTATATATATATATTTATATATATATATATGTGTGAAAACATGTATTTGTCAGTTGCATGCTCCAGCAAGCTGTTACTGTCTTCACTGTATTACTATATCCCACACACTTGTATTCTGCTTATCTTTTGGTATATGATGAATCAAATCAAATCTTCCAGCTGGCTCCAAATATTCTGTAATATTATGTTAGTGATGGTCATACCTTAAGTGTGCAGCTTTGGACAGTTCCCTAGCTAGCAAATTGATTGACTGTTTTGCATGTAATTCTTTCACATGCCAGGTACTGACAATTTAAATGACTGTGAAAAAGTACCAAGTTCTGCTTATTCAACCAAGTACAAACAAAAAAATGTGCTGAATGCCCAATATCATACCTGCTCACATTCTTCATTCAGCTTAGAATTGGGGAGGGTTGCACACCATAAATAATAAAAAGCATTTGGTGTTGGGTGGGTGGAATTGATTCAACACTCGTGATAGTTGCTGAGATAGGCTGGGGGACATGACTGACAAATTATGAGCTTGCCTTGGTTTTTACGCTAGCAGATCCAAACTTCAATGAGAATGTTGGAAACTCAAACTATCTATGCTTACTGTAATCTGTAAGTTAAAAAAGCTAAAAAGTCGCACACACCTATTATCAGCTCCGCCTGGTGTTATATCGGTGCGATACCGAGCGGCTCTTTGCTGCCAGCTTTTCTCTTTTTAGTGCAATGACTGTGTTCTTCATGGAATGTGTCTGATGCCTGGTGATAATGCCTGTAGACTTCAGTGTACTGTGGTGCATGCGTAGTGCAGTGCATAACCGCTCTGATTTTCTCTGCACTTCAGGCATGTTCTGAGAAAACAAATGCACAAGAGAGGTTAAACAGAGCTGGCTTTATTAGCTCATCTGACATAGTCAGATGCAGCTTGTAGAATCGCATGATCGTCCGTCCGTCCGTCCGGTCGTCCGTCCGTCCGGTCGTCCGTCCGTCCGGTCGTCCGTCCGTCCGGTCGTCCGTCCGTCAACAGTTGGGCACAAATCTTAACCGCTCGACGTACGGTCACGATATTCGGGTCGTTGGGGGGGATCGTCAAAACGAGTTGGGATGTCGAAGCTGGGGGTCAAAGGTCAAAGGTCAAGAGGTGTAAAAGAAGGGGGAACATTCACTCCTTAACTTAAGGTATAGGGAGGAAATGCAGAATTGCGGCACAAATCTAAACGACTCGACCTAGGCTCGTGATAGTCGGTGTATAGCATCATGGTAGGAAAAGCCATCACTGTGCCAAAATTGGAGGTCACAGGTCAAAGGTCAATGGGCACAGGGCAGATTTTAGACATTTTCTGAGGACATGGTCTGACGGAGCGATTGAAAAACTTTTTTGTTTCAGCGGTGACCTAGCATTTTTATGGCTTTATTGAAAGGACCATGAAATGTCCCTTCTGCTGACATGCGAAGAGTAAGTGTCGGATAACCTTTTGACCCTCAAGAGGAGGGTTAAACATGAATTTGTTGACTGTTAACAGAGGAGTGAACTGCTTTTGCTATTAGAGCCCCCTCCCCCACCCTCCCCCTTCCCCCACCCCCTCCCCCCGCCCCTTCCCTCACCCTCCCCCACCCCCCACCCTCCATCTGCGATAGTGGGCGTGTCCTAACAATGATGTGTACGCAACTGCGTGTCTGCATATCTGCGCCTAACAAATGTGGTACTACGCACGACTGAAATTTTACGTTTATAATCGTAGCAACAGACCTCAGATGAGCCCAGACGCTCTGCGGCTCTTGTTGATTATAGTTGATTGATGATATCATTCGTAATTGTTCTTATATTAGTTCTTTCGGCCAAAATATTTTTGAAGAAATTTAACTCTAATTATCTATGGTAATCAATAAAAAATAGAATTATCATTCGAATATGTATTTTTCTGATAATCAATAGAAAAATGGAATTCACATGTGGAATTTGTGTTATGGATCTTTTTCAGGAATGCATTATTTCCGTAATATGAGTATTACTCTACAAACCATAATGTATAATTATATTTGATGCTATCACTTTAGCTTGTGAATATTATATACATACTATTAGCATGTATAAGCATATAGCTTAAGCTATATAGCATCATAGTTACGTGGTGCATCACAACTAACGACTCCTTCAACAAAAAGAGAATGGTATTAAAATTACCTTCATGAGCCTTTGCATCTTTTCTGCTGCATCACGTAATCGCTCTATTTGACCACTAGATGGCTCTGCTGATTCAGATTGTGTCTCATAATTTGTTTCATCCAAGGCTGCCTTAATGTTGTATTCCATCTTGTCCTAGATATAAACAGAAATGAATGCACATACTCTATGCATCACCTAAACATAAAAATGATTCAAAATGTGTTTCTTGTAAGAAAAATGCCAGTGCTTCAGATTTCCTCATAGAAGTAAGTACTCGTCGCTCGACCTGGGCATCAACTAAATGGGGTTAGCCGCTAGCTTTGTCAGCAGGTGGCGCAGCGGGAGTTAGAAGTGTTACAACGATTGCGCAATCAACCGGTCAGTTGGAAAGATACAGGAATGATGCATAGGCGATCGTATCGTCATAGCGATATAACCAAGTTAAAATGTATGGTCTAATCCAGTGGTGGGCAAACTTTTCAAAGCGAGGGCTGCATCATTGGGCCATGAAAAGTCAAAGGGCTGCACCTTTTAAAATCAGGCGGTGCGCTCTAAGATAATACGTGCGTTTTGCCTCGAGGGTGCCATCTCTGGACCATAATTAGCTGAAATGGCGTTGCAGAGCGAACCAGAGACAATAGAACACTAATCTGTATAACACTGAAAAAGTCAGCCTCGGTTCAAGCACAAACATGTTGACCTTCACAAAAATTTATTGATTTAAAAAAAAAATAAATATTTTATTTTTATTTATTTTATTTTTTTATTTGCTGCAGGCTTCCGCGGGCCGCACAGACCCCGTATCGGGCCGCATGCGGCCCGCGAGCCGCAGTTTGCCCACCCCTGCCTCTAATCTATGGTATACATTTAGAAGAATATAAAGCACATTGGTACTCACCAGCAACAGTTGTTTGGAATCGAACTGTTCAGCGAGAAGAGTGGCACACTGTTGAGGAAACACTTTCCGCTTGAATGCCACGGCAACAACGCATGAGTCCACATCACATGGCGGGCATTCCATCGGTGTCTCACTTGAACTATGCTGCCCCACTGACAACCCAAATAAAGTATGGAGAAAATGTGCATAAAATAAACCATCGGGCATGCAGATAGCCCTAGCACATAAATATTATGAATGTATGCTAAGTGACAATTGACTATTACTAAACTGAACATATTCATTTGCTGGCTGAAAGTGCTAAAGTTGCAATAGAAATTGACACTCGAAATTAGATGGGAGGATGAATAACATGAGCATACATGACATTTGGTGGTATTCTCATTTATCAGGCTATTTTGCATTCATTAAATAATGATGATGAGTATTATTCTTAACCTACCGTTTGACTCATCAGAAAGCTGTAAACTTTTAAGCAGACTTTCCTGGTAAATCTGAAATTAAATATGTCTAAAATATCATTTCATGGCTTCTTGCAATAAATGAATTGAAATATTTAATTTGAGCAACTAGTTTAAAAACAAATTAAAATGCACAGACCCCAAGTAGGTTATTGAGATCATGGTTTACCAAACATTAATTTTCTGAGAAGCTAGATCTTTTAGACTATGTGCCGCTAGCTATACCGTACTACGTTAGCCTAGGCCCTGGTGCTACAGGGCTCTTTACAGTTCACTGCATGTTTTCCTGGTACAGCGTGAATCGCGAGCTACTCCATGATCATGATCATCAAGTGCACTAACTGTATTCATAATTGTGCTTAATTTGTATTAGTTTCTTTGCCCATTTTTTATAGAAACCCCTCCAATTAATTATTATTGTAAGTCGAGAGGAAAACGGGATTCACACTATGGAACCCGTGTTGCAAACATCTTTACAACTAGAAGAATGTATTACTGCCGCTCATGAATAGGGTCTATGTCCCCCAGGGTACTGCCGGAACGTACCCTGGGTACGGTCCGGTATACCGGAACGTACCCTGGTAACTATCTGATAAGGTTAGGGTTAGGGAGTAGGCGTAGGCGACTCCCTAGACTCGTTAGTAGAGTAGGCGAGGTACGGTCCGGCATATTAGATAGTACCAGGGTACGTTCCGGTATACCGGACAGTACTCAGGGTACGTTCCGGCAGTACGCTGGGGGACATAGACCCTCTCAGCATTACTCCCACGTTAGGGTACTGCGTATTCTACTGTCTGCAGACCATGATACCATATATATTTGAAACCATCAGTTCACATTGTGAATAGTATAATTATACGCAGTGGCTACGCGTCCGGTCATCCATTTCACGCGATCATCAGGTGTTAGTGACAAATTGTTATATGGAAACGTTGTTTGTGGTCAATTTCGTACAGACTTGACTATTTATTAAACTGCTTTAATACAACAATAATCGCACCGGTGCATAGCAGGTTTGCCATAGCACAATTAAAGCTCAGCACAGATTCCCAAAACTACGTCACGATTAGGCCACCGCCCTTTCAAATTGAATTGCACTCGCTGATTATAATACGATAGGCTGCTGACTCGCCGCTCGCTGGTGGTTGCTGCTGACTCGCCGCTCGCTGACTCGATGCGCTATCGATCGCGCCGCGCGGACTGGACACACACACACACACACACACACACACACGAGACCAATTACATTACCTCCGCTCCACTCCATGGCGGAGGTAATAACAGTAGTTTACAAAATAAAAACAATAAAAACAATTACAAGCTGACAAATGAGACAGCAATAAGATAAAATAAAAGTAATTACAAGTGTGAAGTGAGACAGAAGGCCTGTACACAAAAATGCCTGTATGCTATTTATCAGTTTTTTAAACACCTTAGGACTTTTACTATCGTGTAAACATTGTGGTAGTTCATTCCATAGGTTAGCACCATAGTAACAAAAACTTTTTTTCCATATATCACGTTTTACATTTGATGCAAGATGCATTGATGGAAGGGTGCAGATGCGATGTCACGGTTAAGTTCAGTCCCACATTCGTCCAAATTTTTGAAGCTACGGCAGAAGTGTTTCCTTTCTGATGTAGGCTTAAGTGTCATCCTCATAACACTAGCCACTAGTCGGTGAAACATCACTGAGGCCAGTATCAACTACCAGGGTCCTGTTAAAGGACCTCGGTTTGTTCGTCAAGATGACATCGACCAATGATGGATCACTATTTTTGGTGAAACACGTTGCTTCACTGACTAGATTCTTCAAATCGAATCCGTCAGACAGCTCGGTGAGGGGTGCACTTTTTTCTTTAGAAAACATATTGAAATTTAGGTCACCGAGGAAAATTACATTTTCGTACTTTGTGAGTATCGTGTCCTGGGTTTTCGTAACACTTTCGATAAATACTTTGGGTGACTGTGCTGGTGGTCGGTAGCACGGCAGCACAAGCCACCTAGTATTCTTAATCTGTAGCTCAATATTCATGGCTTCAACTTGTGCAGGTTCCAATTCTATCAACCTTCGAGATGGGATATCTGATCTCCCATAGACCATAATACCCCAACCTCTACTATCTCGATCCCTCCTGTAGAGTCGATAGCTGTCCACGTTGAATATCGCGTCTGAATAAGAGTCATCAATTTTGGACTCTCCAATGACTAACACGTCCACGAGTTTTTGAAACAGCATGTCGGTCAGCATGACGTATTTACTTTTCATGCTGCGCGTATATAATATTATTACGATTTTCATTGCGCAACCGAACAAGTTCCTCGAGGTAATTTTCATCTTCTGTGTCCATTTGCTCTGATGGTGTGGCGTCCGCACATGTGAACTCCAAAGAGGTGTTTGGAGTATCGATATCGAGAGTGCTCGGGTCCACTGTGATTTGACTAAGGTCAGAATTCAATAGCGATGAAGTGTCCGAATAATTGCTGCGCTCGCATGACAGGAGACTACAGTTTATGTAGGGGAGCTCTTTTGTATCTATTACACACTGCGGGCAGTACCAGTCATCATCATCGGGTGACTGCTGCATGATACAATATTCGGCTGGGGTGATGTTTGCACACCTGATGTGTGACATACGTTACACAGTTCACAGCACACAGCCCTGTGCCTGGCTGCTACTGCTCGCTTGCAGGTTCTGCACGAGTGTTGGACTGGGCCTGGATTTATTTTAATGTCCCCAGCTAGTGATAACACTACGATCAGCGTCCAGGAAGTGGCACTGACTGGGCACCGCCATGTTGAAATTCTAGTGATCTTTAAAATTAAGGTTCTCAGGTGGCGCCAGCCTAAAAAATACTTTTTTTATTACGAGAGCTCTTTTTTGATTTTGTATGAAAAAAAGAGCTCTCGTAATTTTGTTTACGGGAGCTATTTTAAGCTTGGCCAGAGCTACTTTTTCATAGCATGATTTTGTTAAAATTTTCATAATTTTGATGCACTGACTCTAATAATGTCTCAGAAGCCAGAAATTGTGTCTAATTATCGTAAAGGTGTTTCCCAAACAAAAGTCAAGATTATGCTTTGGCGAAATCGACGAGGTCACAAATTATTCCTAATGGTGACAAAATCACGGAGGCCGGGTTTACATGTTGCTGTATGCATGTTGTGTACAAAGTATCGCATTGTTTTTTAATTCAAATCTCGTTATGTCTAGCCATTCAATAAAAAAAACTTGCTTGCCCGAACAGGGAAGTGCAATTTCAAGCTACCTGCCCCGGGGCGAATTTTGGTTGCCCCGGGCCATCGGGCAAGCGGGTTTGTCGAGCCCGGCACCGCAGGGTTCGAATTTCGGCTGAAAATCTAGTGGACAGCAGGACCACCAACTTCAGAAAGTTGGTGGACCTGCACAAAAATTTGGTGGTCAGCTTATTTACTAGCAGTGAGTAACAAAATAGTATATAAAGATAACCATTGGAATTAAAACAGCATACGCATAACAAGGAGTTAATGAATACAAATAGTGTCTTCATTAACTCTTGATGTAACTTAATTAGAGTTGGTCAAATAATGTTTCAATCTCTAGGAATGTCGGGGGAGCTTCTGGGTAAGGTTTTACTTTCGTTTTTCTCTTCCCCAGTCCACGGTACCCCCATGCATAGATCTATCAATGCTGCCGCACATCCACAAAGTTACAAGTGCCTAGAATCTTCAAGTATATACAGTTTACATTTCTTCTAAATATCTACCTGAATAAAAACAGTCCACTTTCTACGTGACGAATTCAGAAAACAGCTTTGATTACGTGCGTGTCAGGTGGCACTGGTCGTGCCCTAACTTCCCACAATAACCCCTGCGATATATAAACTTATTGTTACGCGGTTATAAAAACACATTGATTTCTTAGACTGTCGCGAGTTTTTGTTCGTCTGGCGAATCATGCGGTGAGGGCGTTCATGCAGCTCTAGATGTTTTGGATACCCTAGCTGTCTACGTTGAGGAACGGGTCGTAACGCTGCCGGCGGCACGGGAGCGATTTTTTCTCGTAGCTTCCAAAATTTTCGCTCTCGTAATTGTTGTTACCAGAGCGCTTTGAAAGCTGACGGGAGCGAAATCGCTCGCCGCTCCCGTGTATTTTTTTCGCTGGGTGGCGCTTGATGAAAACTGTAGAATTTGGATGAAGTCTTGCTAGTACACTGCTACCATAATTATATTTATATTGATGTAAATGACATTGGTTTTATTGGGGGCCCAATATAGAGATAGAGACCAAAACCAATGTGCCTAACCCTAACCCTAACCCTAACCCATTATATTGATATAATATTATCTTTATATTGATGTAAATGACATTGGTTTTATTGAGACCCATGTTCTCTATCCTTGAACCCATTAGGCCTACTTTAGATAATAGATTAGTCATTACATCAATACATGATGCTATTAAGTCTCTACTCTAAATTACCTTTCCAAATTTGTAGCGGTTTTGCTCTTGCGACTTGCCCGTGACCGTGTATTTCTACCGTATTCGTTATAAATATTTAGCGAGTACTTTAATCCTGTTCACTTTAGTCCGACTCCTAGTTTTGTTTAGGGACGACTCTACTCTCTAGTCTAGCCCGACCAGGCTGTGCGACGGATTGTCTATACAACACGGTATTCTAACCCTAGCAATACCGTTTCTTGGAGCTACTCTCTAGTCTAAATTACCTGGATTAATCGGGTCTGAAATCTCGTCTTTTCCTCATTTGTAAATTCAGGAGTTCTGCTTATGTGGTCATCCAGTTCGTCTTTTACTATTCGCATGATAGAATTTACAGTATCTTTATTTGCTGATAGCCGGTTTTGTGTATTTTCTCCAAAATGTTCACTATGTGTACTCGGAGATTCCATTTTGAATGTCCCGGTGACTGCCAAGTTCCGCCATCTATTGGGAAAATGCGGCATTGAATCGAGTATCTACATTACTTTAGCATCTATGCTTTAGCTGATAAGATATTTATTGTAGATCATAAAGATTATTACTATGTTACATTTGCAATATTAAGTACTTGCTTATTACAACCAGTAAAGCAATTATCTATATAACTCATAATGCTGGTGATTTATTATAATTGTTACCTAATTATTTGTTGTAGGGCCTGCTTGTAATAACCTATTATTATAATACGCGTGCGCGCGTACGCGCGCGCGTGTGTTCAGTAAGAGCGTAGCTAATTAACCCATTTTTCCTGGAGGGGGCAAAGCCATGTGCATGGTGTGTTCTGAACTTCTGGGAAGGGTATACCGCGTCTTAAAAAACACAAAGCACTGAGTCTTCAAAACACTAGGAATTAGTCATTTCAATGTATGGTCATACAAAGATTGGATCGTGAATTTGTATCAATAATGGGGTTTACGTATATCTTATATATCAATGACAGTGGAATTTTTTTAGTTTTTAATAATTTTTTTCGCGCGCAATTGATAACTTATATATGAAAAAAATTATTAAAAATATGTCCATTATATTATGCTGTAAAAAATAATTACATTCCCTCCTTATTCAGCACCGGTGTTTGATTTTGTTTGTTTTAGTATTGGGTACGTGTACAATATACAAACACTGTTTCAGCGTGATAACTAATGCCCATGGTTCATCATAAGAATCATTTCGTATTCTGTTGATCGAATTTATTGAACTGGGGTACATATCTTGGCCATGATTTCTCACTGTTTCTGTACGCGATAAAATTAACAGACAGGCTATTCGTTTCGTATAGTAAACACAATTAAATGAGTATTTTCAGTGGACGCGTGAGATATAAGTTCTAGGATATCCATATACGAAAGTTAATATTGGGCAAACTGGCTTTTCAGATGGTTAGGGTTAGGGCGCCTTTGAAAAACTTGTGAAAGGTCTGCGATTCGAATCGTGTCTTTGTTGCTATAGCTGCTTTATTCCGATTGGCGTTATCGTGCTCGATCAAATGCGAGGTGAAAAACACATTACAAAAATCAGAATTCCAGTGTGCATTATAAAATGCAGGTGATATGCTATGATATGATATGATGTGTGTGCATGTGAAAGGGTTAATATATAATATTTACAAAATATTCTTATTAGCTGCATTTAATAAAATCAGGAGTGAATAATAATAGATCTTTTATTATTCACTCCTGATATATAATAATATTTAGTATAAGATATATTTGTAAGTTTACGGGGGTTTGAGATAAATGGAAAAACTTTGTTGGATCAATAGATACGCCTTTCATGCCGATCATATTGCGTAATATATGCTGCGATTAGCTACACATAGGGTTCTAAAACAGTAAAACACCCAAACAATAACCCCTATAATGAGGGTCCCGACTACGCATTTTGTTGCAAGTTTTATTAGCATGGAAATAAAAGACCATGAACATGATATTAGTCAGAATATATACATTTGTATTACACAATATTTTTATTATAAAGTGTAAAAACAAATTAAGGACATGCTGTAGAGCTAACTACGTTTAGGTACCGTGAGGTAGACGGTGGTAAAGTTGACGAAGTTGGTACTATTAGTCGTCGTGCACGTGTTCAATTTTATCTCTCTAGTATCTCTCTATAGGTTGTGTAGGTGGTTTATGTATTGCAGTATTAGATAGGCTAGAGTGCTTGCTAGAGAGCAAGAAAATGGCAAACAATTTCTCTGTGACGAATTATGGACATCACTGCTAAAGTTATACGTATGACGTGATATAATATCAGGAGCGTATAATGACAAATTTGTCATATATACATATTTGGCGTATACGTATACGTATTTGGCATATATACGTATAAGGCGTATTTGTCATTATACGCTCCTGATAATATCAAGCTATTTTTTCTTACAAGCGAACAAGACGATCGTCGTCTGATGAGCTGTCGATTTGTTTTAGTAGAGAATTTTGTCGCACGGTGGCGACACACTAGAGTGTTTGTTTCCTGGCTGGGCTGCGGCTGTGGGGAGTTTATCGATATTTTTCCAGTGAAAATTTTCATCAAAATGCTGCTGAAACGTGAACATCTTTAAAACGACACGTCGAAGAGTGTTGTACAGTATTCAGAAGACGCTTTATGGTTCATCTCCGTGACTGTTGTGACACAGAACAGTGCGAAAATGGTGGTGTTTAACGGAGTTCTTAAGCTGAAAGTGATAGCAGCCGAAGATCTGAAACCGACAGACTTCTCTACAAGACATCAGATTGCTGGCTTGAGCAAAGATAAACTATCAACGATTGACCCTTATATTTCGGTCGACATAGACGAAATACACGTTGCGAGAACGACGTCTCGACCCAAGACCTTCTCACCAGTATGGAACGAGGATTTTTCGACAGACGTCCAAAATGGACAAAATTTAGGACTGACTGTGTTTCACGACGCCGTAATGCCTCCAGATGATTTTGTGGCGAACGCCACAATATCGTTTGACGATATAAGTCAAAAACCAGCCGCAGCAGATATATGGGTAGGTTTACTTGCCATTGTTTGCTATCAAAAATTAGTAAAATTACTTTAGAACGTATTGGGGTGGGAGAGTCACCAAATGCAATATTAGCAAACAACGACAATAACAATTAACACAACTGACATTGGATGACATCGACACCGTGCACGCACAGTAGGCCTGTTGTGCCCAAACTTGGAATCTTGCACAAACTTGGAATTTCAGCGCATCCGCAGTTTGGGCAATCAATCTTGAGATTGGGCAAACAGAGGTAAACAGAGCTACATGTCAGACACAAACATATGATTATTAGGATTTCAAATGTTATATCATAACTATATAATTATAAGGTCGTATACTTTCTTTCCTCAATGTGTTTGGCACCTTTGTATAAATAATTGGATAAATATGAGATAAATCTCTAAATCTCTCTCTAATAGTTTGCACCACGCACGCCACACACTCGCTATGAGTATGAGCGGTTGTTGAATCACCGACTGTTTTCAGTTTGCCCAATCTTGAGATTGGTTAGCCAAACTAGGGAATCCGCAGTTTGGGCAGCACAATCATTGCACAATCTCGAGATTGTGCAGATTCCAAGTTTGGGTACGACAGGCCTACGTAAAGTACATAATATTTTCACATCATTTTAATCGATCTCTCAGAAAGTTGAGCACTTGAAATTGCCATGACGGGTGGGGAGGGGTGTCCTTGTGCAAATCTTGCAAACTTCTTGAAACATTCCACACTATGCAGACACACCATAAATATCAGGAGTTAATGAGACAAACATACGCACACGTATACGTATACGTACCCTACGTGTTGGGATCTACATATTTGTACACGTATATGCACACGTACACACACCCATACATGTTTGTATGTGTATGTTTGTACAAAAGTAGCAAGGTCTAACAAAATAAATAAGTTAATTTAACATGTCTGTTGCATTTAGCTTTCGAGAAAATCAATGTGCATATCATGTCTGTTTTTAATTTCATGTACATAGATTTACACTGTATATGATGTACGTCTACATACATGTGTAGTGTATGGCTGTACTATTTTACTGTAAGTACAACATTATGTGTGTACATGTGCATATATGACCCTAATGTACTGTTAATTATATATACAGCCTGGTATGCATACTAGAGCTCATAGGGTCTATGTCCCCAGGGTACTGCCGGAAGTCCGGTATACCAGGAACGTACCCTGGTAACTATCTGATATGGTTACTAAGGGTTAGGGAGTAGGCGTAGGCGACTCCCTAGACTAGTTAGGGGAGTAGGCGAGGTCCGGCATATTAGATTGATAGTACCAGGGTACGTTCCGGTATACCGTACCATACCCAGGGTACGTTCTGGCAGTACCCTGGGGGACATAGACCCTCTCAGCCATACTAGAGCTACGATGAAGGTGCTCACAGTCCATCATAATACAAAATTGAAGTGCACATTGCTATGTCTAGAGTATTGCACAGTGATTTTGTATGCTTCAAATTGATTTCTTACTCAGATCCTTATGAAAGCATTGAACTGTTAGTATGGGTGTCTATTCATAAAATTGTGGTGCATGGTAGCTTATTCGACTCTTGGGCTACATAATAAGTTTGTATTTATTACACACTAGCCTGGTACCCGGCGTTGCTCGTGGAAAAACGCGTAGGAACAACTTTTAAAGCAAATTGAGCCACATATAGTATACTTACTTAATTCTAAAATATTTTTACCCCCCCCCCCCTTCTTCACCCATACGATCCCCATCAGAAAGGAAAGAGAAGCGTACTGGATTCACAATCTGAAGCCTATCCAGCCACACGGACTCAATCTACGGGTAGAGATTCTGGGATGGATAGAAGACAGTAATCACCTCCCCCCCTCCCCACCCACCAGCATGGTATACACGCAAGGCTAATTCTCAGCCGACACTCTAGGGTAGCAGGTGGCTCGGTTTATCTTTTATAACTTTTTTTACTTAATTCTAAGGATAGATTCGTAACAGAGTTCTAAACAAACAATAAGCAATATTCTGACAAAAACAGTTCGAACGATTCTATGATTCTGTGTAGTCAAAGCTTCTGGGTATATGACATTGTTATGAAATTGCGCCAAGTTATACAAATGAATATGCCGAGCTCTCAGGCTCTCTGGCTTTGCAAGCCTCACCTCGCCTTTTAAATACACAATTGGTGACATCTGTCACGTGTGTCTCTTATCATTGAGATTCGCTTTACATCAAAATAATACATGAAAACTAAACTAAACTAAATACATAGGTCAATAAACTAAACCCGTCAATATAGCACAATATCAGTTCAGTGTCACTTTCAGTTTCATAGTAAAATAATGAGCAGATTTTAAAAAGTAAATATTTTTCCAAACGTATGCCACGGTATGGATATCACCTCATTTTAACCAAATTAGTTGGTCAATTTAGCAGAGTTCTGCACCAGTGAAGATGACATTGATGACATTATCATGACCATAGATGACATTATCAAAAAGATGAATAGCGTAGCACCTGATATTAACAAACTTAATTCTTTATACCATGTAATGTTATACATTAGATCCGAATGTATGTACACAGATAAATTACAATTTAAAAAATACAAATGAACGAAAATGAACCACCAAAAGTGTGTGTTGTGCTGCTGTTGAGACTCAACTGACAACTGAGTGCATAATATAAAAATATGTATAAATTTGGCATAGTTTAACCTATGGTTTGACCTGGTATTAACAAAGTTTTGGCTTTTGTCTGCTAGATGGCTATATTCGCGGGAATTCGACTCTTCTACTTTTCTGACATCACCCCACTGCTAAAATTATCGCCCATATTAAGGCCTATTTATCGTCATTATATCTACACATATGGGTAGATTTAACAAATATGGATAAGCCTATGTTGGTGTTCGACACACGGGCTATACGCTGAGATCGGTGGCGTGGACTTGATGCTGACCGCGGCGAAGATTACCGCGTCAGAAAACCAGCCGAGCTACTCTCTTATAATATAGATGCACACACAAAACTGCTGCATGCATGGCCTACAGATTATGACAGTGCGTATCATTTATTCTGTAGGTTCCCATGATCTCACCACTGTAGTGAATGTACCTGTAGGGCCTACATCATATATGTGACCAGTGTATTGTATTGTGTAGGCATATCCTTGCAATGTTGTCCTCTCACAAGGGTCCATATATTATACAATATTATTCTTGATAAGATCATAAATTGTCTGGTGGCATACAACTTGGTTTAAAACCACAACTTTAGCTATTTGTTCATCTTACTACTATGCATGTATTTGGCATTGTATATCTGTGCTCATGACTCTTTCAACACGTAATAGACTATCAACTGCTGATTTACTGCATGAATATAAACTAAATGGTGATGTCATAACCGAATTTTATTAAAAAAGTGTAATTATTTAAAAAAATTGTAAAAATTGTTGCTACAAATACAGCGTGCTGTGTGTGTGTGTGTGCGTGCGTGCGTGCGTGCGTGCGTGCGTGCGTGCGTGCGTGTGTGTCTGCAGTGCATGCGTGTGTGCAAGATTGTGCATGTCTGAGCGTGTGTATAGTGTAACGTGTGTGAAGTGTAAAGTATCTGTAATATAGTTAGCAACATCGATCTATAATAATAAATTGTGGAACCGGCAGCTTATGATATGAGAAAAGAACCATACCTCCATGCGTAAACGTTTTATATGCTATGTAGTGTGTTAAAAAAAGCTCCATGAATAGGGGCGCATGACATTTAAAGGATAAACAATGTTCTAAATTATAATATATATGGTTTTCGCATATTGACAGGTCATGAACGGTTTACAGTCATCGTGATGTAGCTTGCATGTATGCATATAAATGAAACGATCAGTTAGTTTCCTGGCCTTATTAAAATACATGTTTGAGATTTTGCCAACATAGTACATCATCTTTATATTTTGTTGAAAATATACATTATGATTTTGCACGTCTGTAAAAGCGTTTCTTTCTACACATGTCCTTCTTCCTCTCTTCCTGTGCCATCCCTGCACACAACACTCCATATTTCCCTTGTCCCGTTTTCACTCCCTCCACATTCGCCACACCATAACCCAGCCCATTGACTCACACCAACCTATCCTGCCAAGTGTGCCGAACCTTTAATTAAACTAGTACTCATAGTATTGCAAGCTCAGTTGTATAAAGTAAATGCTTACTTAAGTAAGGTGTGGCGCTACCGAACGGATGTATCACCAAGAGTAGATAATAACACATTGTGTTATTATCTACTCTTGATCACGCACGCAAGCTTGCCATCCAATACCACGTAGATGCAAAATGTGCATGTATATATGGCTGCACTATAAGCATAACTCCATGAAAAACCAAATGTTTTCGTGTATTGGTACCGAATAAAAATTGGCAAAGATATTCGCTGACCAGTACATATATATATATGCTCGTTTTAAAGGCCGTGGATTGGCATTGCAGTCAATCAGTGATAGCTGGAGTCATTCAGGGGTTGTGTTGGTGAACATGTCCAAGTAGGGAGGCTGTGGGGTGGGTGCGTGTTGATAGAGTGGCCCAAGTCCTAAGAATGTTGTTGTTAGTAGTGTCTGCGTGCGTGCGTGTGTGTGTGTGTGTGTGTGTGTGTGTGTGTGTGTGTGTGTGTGTGTGTGTGTGTGTGTGTGTGTGTGTGTGTGTGTGTGTGTGTGTGTGGCGCGCGACGTGCGTGCGTGCGTGCGTGTGTGCGTGCGTGCGTGCGTGCGTGTGTGTGCGTACATGGTCATGCGTACATGCGTGCGTTTCTGGTTGGTAGAAAACTCGTATGTTTTGTGGAAAGATTGTTATGGTCCAGGTTGGAAGATGCTACTAGTATAAATACGTTTAAGACACTACAAGTAGTTTGGAAGTTTGGCAAGGTTATGATTCAGGTATTTATTTATTATTATTTTGACTCAAGTCATCTTTAAGTTGCATTGAGTACTCTAATCATATATCACAGGCATTTTCTGGAATA